TTCAAACCAATTAAGACTTATAGGTCCTAAATCTGTAAGAAAAATACAAATTCCACCTTGGTTTTAATCAGTGACAAGTAAGTTCATGGACTGTAAAAATCATAATAAAGAAAAGGATGCTTGAGATTTTGACTGTAGATTACTTTCGTTAAAGCATATTTATTAAACATGTCATTAACCTGTTATCCTTCAATCTGTAGCAAGATATAACAAGGTTTACAGAAGTTACAAGGTGATTGCTCCTAGCTATATTAGCTAGCTTTTCTAAAGTTTTCTTTCTCTTATATTCATGATTCAGAGACAAAAGTCATTCATAATTCAATAATTCAATAATCAGAATGTATTCCACAGATACAATTTAATTACAATGACAATATAAAAGGATGTGATAAATCTACAGGTACAGGAACATGTAGACTCAGAAATAAAATGAAATAAAAAGAGTCCTTATTAAAGAGAAATGACAAAATCTATATCATGATCTAACCACCCTTAAAGTACTATTTCAATGTGTGGTCTGTGGACTATGGCAGGAGATAGGGAGGGGGGTGTGGGGAGATCCCCAAGACAATTTCAGGAGGTCCATGATGTAAAACATTTTCATAATAATACTAAGGCATTGTCTCTCTTTTTCACAATGCTGACATTTGTGCCACTGGTGAGTAAAACTGATGACATCTTTGCATGAGTCAAGGCAGTGGCAATAAACTGCTAGTAATTGTATTCGCATCACACACTTGTCAAAAACAAAACTGAAAAGCCAGTCCAACTTAAAATATCATTAATTAGGCAGTAAAAATTAGTCTTAGAAAGCCCAACTCTTGAGCACATCTTCTAATATTCTCTGTGATAAAATGGAAAGTATGCATAAAGCATTTTTGCATATTTAAGTATGACAGATATCTAAAAAGGCACTTGTGATGAGTTAGGAGCTGAATTAGCACTTTTTTTCCATGGAAAGCCACTTTAATAGAAAGAACAACTAATAAGTCATTTTGAGTTGGATGATTTGGTAGACATTTTCTTAAAAATGAAGTAAGTCTGTCACCCAGAAAAAAGTTTGCTGTCAATGATAAAATGGGAACTTTTATGTTTTTATTTTTTTTTAAATTTTAAAAGTAGGCTCCATGCCCAGTGCAGAGTCCAATGTGGGGCTTGAACTCATGACTCTGATATTAAGGCCTGAGCTGAGATCAAGAGTTGGACGCTTAACTGACTGAGCCACCTAGGTGCCCCCAAATAGGAGCTTTTAAAATGGAATTAGAATTTTGTTAAAACTTTATGAGCCTCTGTAAACTTGACATCTTCCTAATATTAAAAGACTTTTCTGATGAGATTTACTTAAAACGTACCAAATGTACTTTTTATAGCTTAATACAATGTGTCAATACATAGAATATCTGTGTAATTCAGAACACTGACCTTTTCCCAATGATCAGTGCCTGATGTTACAGCATGGATAAACAATTTGTTCAAAGTGCAAGAAAGACTAATAGAGTTAAATGTAACAAAGGGAAGGAAAAGTTCATGATACGATTTCCAATTCCATACTGCAACTCTTAAAACTACCACTTGTCTAGTTCTGGTATATTATCAAAGATACCTACAATTAACTGAAGACTATTAAAATACTCCTTTTCTCAACTACATTGTTGTGGAGGGCTGGCTTTTATAAAGAAAAGCCAGAAACACTATAAAACCAAAACACTCTACTGCAACAGATGAAATGCAGAAATTGGTATGAGGCTTCAGTGTCTTCTACTAAGCCAGATATTACAGAGAACTGCAAAACTGTAAAACAGAGCCACTCTTTTTGGAAGAAAAGGTATTTTTCATAAAAATGTTCATTTGTGTTAATATGCAATGGATTTTTTTTATTTTAAGTGAATTAACACACATCTTTAAAAATTCTAAGTTTTAATTTCTATATGGTAGCCTACATAAACAAAACCTCTTTGAGGTCTTCAATCCTTTTCAAGAGTGTAAAGAGATTAAAGTTTGACAACTTCTAATATAAAGTAACATTACCAATTGCTAAAAGTTCTGTGCTTTAAAAACAGTACATTCTCCTGCTAATCAAGAGGCCAGTACCTTCTTTATCCCCAGGGTTCTATAGTTACCATTTTGTTAACTGTAAATGATCATTTTCTTAACTGGATTTATGACCCCATACGAAACAGTTTACAGGAAAACAAAACGTTAGGTATTGGATTCTTCTTAGCAAGCAAGCACAGTTACATATTTTTCTGAAAACATTTTCGCAACATAAATGATCGATGTATATAAACTTTGTAATACCTGCTTCATTGCACCGCGTCTTAAAAATTTCAAAAAAAGTCGGCCTCTCTTTGCATCCAATAGGCATTTTTATCTACAATATTACTCCAACGCTAGATAAATAACTCTGCAAAAGACAACACCAAAATACACTTCACAGTGATGCAGTCCTTGTTAACCGACTCTGAAGTAAAAATCAAAAGCAGGTAAACTTGCCTAAAGTTATAGTTTATTGACTTCAGTCCCATCTTTCGAGACAATAATCAAACTTACTGCGATGATGGGAGCATTCTATATTTGTGCTGTGCCACTATCCCCATTAAGCATTTGAAATGCGGCAAGTAGGACTCAGAACAGAATTCTAAATATTTAATTTTAATTAACTAGTCACGTGTAGCTAGAGGGTGCACAGCCAACGAGGGGTCCTATTAGAGATAAATATCTTTTGACAATGTCAAATCAGTAAATCTTCGTAATACAGCAATTCCCTGGGCGTTAAGTAAGGCCGATACAGTGTGTCAGGAGCTGTGAAACATCTTCTAAAATTACAATATTCCGTTAAAGTAACTTCATCGTATTTCCAACTAAGGAAATTTCAGAGTGGGATATCTAGGGCAGCTCAGGGGCAAACCCTGGGCGGCGGGCGGGGCGCAAAGTTGGGAAGCGGAATTCCAGGGAAGGGGCGGGGCTCGCGGCTGGCAGAGACCTTCAGCGACAGGAGACCGTCAAGGTCCGGAGGCCGCGGCTCCCACCCAGGGAAAGGGAGGCGGTCCCCCTCAGCCCCACACCGCGGGAGACAAGCCTGTCGGTCTCCACCCGGCCAACACTAACCGCCTCCGGAGGTGCCGCTCTTTTTGGCCGGAGAAGGCTGACAAAAACCGCGCCAGCACTTCGATCAGAAAGCTGACCCGCAGGCTCCTTTCTGCGACGATCCACGGCTGCGCCGAGCCCTAGCAGCTCCGCCTCCGCCGATCTTATTTCAGACTCTCGCGCCAAAAGCCAGCTCTCCCGACACGTCGCGCGGTGACGCCGTGACGTAACACGCAGTGTGCGTGCGACCAGGAAGTCAGGTTCTGGGAGGGCGGCTGGCGCATCTGTGTGGCGAAAGCCAAGTCGTTGTTGGACCGCTGGACAGTCGGCCGGGAACCGCGTGAAGAGAGAGCTGGGGTGTTTGTTTTGTTTTCCCGGAGCCTTCGGAGTACGAGGCGGCGCTCCTGCCCGTGGCTGCCCACTGTGTATACTCCCCGACTCCTCCCCCTTCTCTCTGCTCCACCTCACGTTTGGGTGGCAGCCGGGGGACGGCCTGGGGTCTTTGAAAGATCTTTGTTTGCCCTTAGAGAGGGCGGTCCCCCAAAGTGGTCCGTGGTTGTAGCTGACTGCCCTGCTGCGTGCTCTCTACAGAGTGGAAAGGGATGAGATTTGAAGCCAGAGGACTTAAGTTCTAGACCGCGTGTTGCTCCTAGGTAGCAAGATTTCAAGCCCTCCAAGCCTGTTTGCCCCCTTTAAAAATTGTGAAACCACTTTCACTCTCTACTCTTCCACTCACTACCCTCTGCAGGCTTCCGTAGCATCCTTTACATTCTTGGGGTGGTAATCATCTCGTTCTGTGCCTGTCTTCTCTCCAAGTCGCCCTGGGAGAAGGGAACCTGTCCTCATTCACAGGGTCTGTGACATGCGCAGCAAGAGCCTTAATTCAGATTTGCTGTATAACCGAGCAAGCTTTCAACTGGTGTGGAGAGAGAGCTGCTCCTAGACCTTGCTGCTGCCAGAAAGCTCTTGAGCAAATAAACAGCGAAACAACCTCGGATTAGAAAAAGGGTGGGCTCTACGTGGTTATATAGGCGTCATTTTAGTTTGATCATAGTCTTGAGCTTTAAGCAAGAAGCCTTACCAATACAGATACTAAAGCTTGTTAACACTTACCGAACGCGTAAATCTTACAATCATGTATATTAGTACTGTCAGCTGGGGAAACCAAATCACCTGGTTAAGTAACTTGTCTGGTAACAAGGCCATGGTTTCAATTCAAGTCCCTTTGATTTCAGACACTAAACCCATGGTTAAGTTTCTGTTTACCCTCTAGAGCAAAATAATTGGCTTTTTTCACCTTTTTTGGGAAAGGGATCCTCCTCACTAGGAGTGAATTAATGAGATCTGTTGGCATGCTCTACAACCCTCTGAAATACATTTTCTCATAATATATATATAACACTCCCCCCATGCTCCTTGCTTCTGTGGTTCTGGGATCTTTACATTCATTGGCTCTGCCACAGTATACTTACTTCCTTATACTCTTCTAGTTTGCTGCTCAGATAAATTATTATTTGTATTTGATTTAGTATATGCTTTAAAACAGGATCTCTAAAATAGTTACTATAGGGCACACGAGTGACTTGCTAACGAAAGCATGTGTATGAATAAGAAGTCAGAAATGAAAAACAGCTTTGAAGAAGATTCAGGAACAGTGAGTTGAAGAGATAGGGAAGAGCAATTAGGAATCAGGTGGAAATTAGACCTCTGTAGGCAGGTAGATTGCCTGTCCTTTAATTAGGATAATAGGCAGCAGCTTCCATCAGGATCTGAAATAAAGGGAGAAGCTTGGAATGAACCAACACTAACTTGATCAGGGGAAAAAGGAAGGGGGTGGATGAAGGTGGGAGGCAAAACAAGGAGAAAAACAAACCCCCTCCAGGGATATTGTGCTGTGCTTGGCCACGGGGCCGATGGAGCGCTTTGTCCGTGTTCCCTATGGCTTGTACCAGGGCTATGGGAATCCAATGCCTTTGGGCCATCCCGGAGTCTCTGAACACAAACAGCCTGATTGGAGGCCAAACGTTGGTCCCCCTACTTTCCTGGCCAGGCCTGGGTTGCTGGTGCCTGCAAATGCTTCCGACTGCTGCATGGACCCTTACAAGAGGGCTCAGCTTAAGGCTGTTCTCTCCCAGATGAACCCCAGCCTAAGCCTGCGGCTTTACAAGGCCCACACCAGGGAGGTGGGCGTGCAGGTGAGCCCGCGGGTGGACAAGTCAGTGCAGTGCTCACTGGGGCCTCGCACCTTGCGCAGCCTCTCCCCTTGGGGCAGCACAGGCCACAAGGCACCCCTGTCAGCCTGGGGAGTCTATTCACCAGTGATAGGTTGCAGGGGCTTGATTCAGCTGCAGAGGGAGGGGGAAGACCAGGAGAGGAAGGCACTTTTGGGCCCTGCTGAGGCCAGCCAGCAGCAGCAGCAGCCACCACCAACGCCAAGGTCAGAACAGGATGAACAGGAGGAACTTCACCAGCACAATGAGTTGGAGGAGGAAGATGCCTCAAGTCCTCGGGAAAGGAAGAGCAAGCAGGCACAGGGAGTTGGTGGGGAAGATCTGCTCAGGAAGTCCAATTTCCAGGTGAATTTTCTCCTCCCTGTCCTCAGTCCTCAGCTAGCCTCATCCTCTCTTCTTTTCCATTTCTGGGGCAATATAGCAAGATCTTTCACTTTCTCCCTTTACTTGATGAAGGAGAGGTTATTATGAAAACATGCGTTTTACATGTCCTACAGGTTTTGTAACTTTTTGGTGAAATTTCACCAAAAATAACTTTTTGGTGGAAAATTTTGCCAACTTTAATCATGTGAAAACCCAAAGTCTGGAAGCCACTGGTCTTGGGAAAGAGATAAAATGGAGTTTCAAGTCTGTCAAATATATGATCAGTTTCTCGTTTAGGGGAGAATGTGCTGGTGGCATTGTTGAAAGAACAGTAGAAAAGTATAGGAGATGGGAACAATAAGGATCCCAGAGTAATCCTTGAGAGATGAGATGCTAAATTAGCCTAGTAGCCTTGAGAACAGCTATGAATGAGGTTAGGAGGCTTTTTGTTTTGTTTTTTCTTTTTTTTTTTCCGGCTTTTTGTTTTATTTTATACGAAGCCACGATGGAAGAGGACCTGGATTCACTGCCCAACCCCCACCCCCCAAGATTGTAAAAGACTTTTCTTCCTTATCTGCAGTTTTTGGAACCAAAATATGGCTATTTTCACTGTAAAGATTGTAAGACCAGATGGGAGAGTGCTTACGTGTGGTGCATTTCTGGAACTAATAAGGTAAGTAAAAGTGAGTGAGATGTGGGAGGAGGATGGGGGGGAGACAAATGTTATATCGAGGGAGAGTATTTCTGATGGAGCCTGACCGTAACGCTGTCTCATTCATTTGGCAGCCTTAGTGCGGGGCCCTTAATAGGTACTTAGTTAATATTTAAACTGAACTGAATTGGACTGTCCACATGAACTACTAAGGCTCTTAAAGCTGGTGTTACATTTGGTTTGGTAGTTCTGTTGAACAAAATTTCAGGTTATTTAAGTGAAATCTTGCCCTTATGTATGGTGAAACTGTCTATAGTCTTAAAATTGGTATATTTTGAACCTGTTTGGGCCTTAGCTCCTGGAAATTTCCATGGTCTGGCCACAAGGTGGGGCAATACGAGAAATAATCTATTGTGACGGTTAACTTTGGAGAGATTTCTTTAGGCTAAACAGTTTTTCCCTCAATTTGAATTACTTGTCAACATATTAAGAATGGTGGGGTGCCTGGGTGGCTCAGGTGTTCGGTGTGTGCCTTTGGCTCAGGTCATGATCCTAGAGTCCTGGGATCAAGCCCTGTACTGGGGTCCCTGCCTGGCGGGAAGCCTGCTTCTCTCTCTTCCACTCCCCCTGCTTATATTCCCATTCTCTCTGTCAAATAAATAAATAAAATCTTTTAAAAAACAAAAAAAGAAAACGTATTGAGGTTGGGAAAGATGTCACAATCTGCATTTCCAGATTTCCCTGATAGACTCTGGTCACTATAGACTCTCATTTCAGTGTGATGACAGTAGGCTGGGGCTCAGCAGCTTCTAGCTCCTTTCAGTGGGCATGCACACTTCATTTTGCTACAGTCTACATCTGGTCTATTTCATTAACTTGGGTAAGCATTTGAGTTTGAGTTCCCTGTGCTTTCACATTTTAGATACTGCTTTTCTGGCTAACGGTGTGTAGGAGGAGAGGGCAAGAAAGAGTGCTAAAGCCTGAGTGAAAACTTGACTTTTCATACTAGCCATTTACTAGACCCTGAAGGCAAATGTATTTTTAAAGACTTTATTCATTTATTTCTCAGAGAGAGCTCAAGCACAGATGCAGGGGGAGGCAGGCAGAGGGAGAAGCAGGCTCTCTGTTGAGCAAGGACCCCAGTGTGGAACTTGAGCTCAGGACCCTGGGATCATGACCTAAGCCGACGGCAGAGGCTTTAACCCACTGAGCCACCCAGGTGCCCCCGCTAGAACTCATTCTTAAGAAATTTGTTCTCCTAGGAGTGACACAGATAAAATGCAATTTGGTGGTAGACACAGTGGTCCCAGTGGCTTGGAGGTGTTGCAGAAGTAAGACAGGAAGAGGCATGGTTACCATTTTGGAGAGAAGACATCATGATGGTCATGCAGGATTTCAGTGGATAGATAGGAGTTCAGCAAGTAAGGCAGGGAGAAAATGTGCACAAGAAAATGCACAGAGTTGAGAAACAGTAAGTATGGGTGGGTAGCTACAAATAATTTGAAGTTCAGGTGGAAAAATATGAGATAATGAAAAAATAGAGGCTCATACACTAGGTCAGAAGGAGAAGGTCAAGGATTCAGCCCACACAATGAATAAAATTATAATAGCTACTTCCCATTGATGATTTTTACTGTGGTACTTTGTGTACCTTATTAGGTAATTGCCAATTATAGAAAATAAGTGGTAGTATCTTGATTCTAAAGGTAAGGAAACTGAGGTGCAAAGAGTGAGGAAAAAGTGGCTCATAGCACCAGAAGAGCTTCAGACCTCAGGGCAGAGGGGCAAAAGCCAGGCACAAACTGGGGGAATGGAGTACTTAAATTAAGAACTCAGAGCCTAAGGTACATTTAATCTTGTATTTAAAAAATAGACTTGTTTCTCTTTAGGTTTATTTCAAACAACTATGTTGCAAATGCCTAAAGAGTTTTAACCCTTATCGAGTAGAAGCAATCCAGTGTCAGGTAAGCATATAGAGCACTTTCATTGTGTCTCTAATGTTGCCATTTTTAAATAGAAGTTTCTGTGGCAAAATGTTGTGATTTGATAGAATCGGATATTTGCATCAGAGTATTAAGTTTTCTATACCTTGAATTTTTATATTTTAGATAAAAGATAAATTCTAGATTTGGGGGGCGTGTAGGGAGGGGAGTAAGACTGACTTTTTAAAGTTGCTCCATATGGTGTGTTTTATGTACGGGCTATGTGTTTCTCAAACACCCTGTGTGTAGTTTGGATGTAGCAACTTTTTAAAAGTTTATTTTTGTTCTAGTTAGTTAACATACAGTGTTATATTAGTTTCAGGTGCACAATATAAGGTTTTGACAATTCCATAAGTATGTAGTAACTTAACAGTTTACCAGTATTAAGCTTTACTATGTACCGAACTTTGGGCTAAGTGCTTTATGTGCATTATCTCCTGTAATCTAAACTTTGAGGTAGGTGTTATCCCCATGTTACAGACCAGAAAGCTAAAGTCCAATAAGAAAATAACTTGCTCAAGTTTACACAAATAATAGAAATTAGAACGATGATCAGATTTTATGGTTTCTCCAGTGTCTAGGAAGTCATAGAATTAGATGAGAGCTTGCAGGAAACCTCTTTTTAAACTTTTCAGGGAAGTATGATGTAGTTGGTTTTTGTAATCAAGAGCTTTTTTAAAATCTAAATCCTTCATTTAGTGAAAAACATTTTTGTACTACTTTGAAATATTCAAAAGTAGTCTACTAGTTTATAAATTACCTTTAGATTTTTAGTTGGTTTTTTAATGTAAGTCGGGTTTAAATATGTTTTTATTATACTACTTTTTTTTCTTATGTTCAGTTGAATTGACTTTTTTTTTTTAATAAAAGATTCCCCATCTCTATTACCTTGGTAGTTTTCATTGTTTATTATTCTTCTGGTGCTTACCTTAGACAATACAACATGATTCTGTGAGCTATCAATGTCTACATAAATTGTGAATTTTAGATCTCCTTGACAATGCAATGAACTTAGAACACTCTAACTCCTTATTGCCTCATACTAGCTTTTATACTGCTGTTGTATATTTTAATTCTAAACTTTATAAGACATTATTTTATATAGTCATTCATCAGCTTTACCTACACATGTTTCTTTTCTGTTGTTTAGGTCCTTTCTGTATCTAGGGCCACTTTGCTTTTACCTGAAGACTACATTTTAATATTTTTTTTAAGATTTATTTTAGAGACAGAGTAGTGGGAAGGGCAGAGGGAGAGAATCTTTAACCACAGAGCCCAACACGAGGCTTGATCTCAAGACCATGAGATCATGACCTGAGCCAAAACCAAGAGTCAGATGCTTAACTGAATGAGCCACCCAGGTGCCCCATGTTTTAATATTTACTAAAGTGCAGGTCTGAAGGTGGCATCTCCTCTTGGATTTTAAAGGATAATTTTGCTGGGTATAGAATTTTTATGTTGGCAGTAGTTTCCTTTTTGCCCTTTAAGTGTCTGACCTTCATTGCTTTATGAAGTTGGCTATTAGTATTTTGTAGCTCTTTTGAAGTAATATCTCCTGTTCTTTGTCTCCTTAAATCTACTTACCTCTAAGATATTTCTCTGTTTTGGTTTTCAATTACAATTATATGCCTAGTTGTGGTTTCTTTGTATTTAACCTATTTGGGATTCATTTTATTTCTTGAATCTGTAGCTTAAAGATTTTTATCTCTTTTGGAAAGTTATCAGCCATTATCTTTTCAAATATTACTTCTGCCTGCATTCTCTTCCAGTTACTCATATTAGACCTTTCACCATCTCCCTTATGCCTTTTATGCTCTTTTCTATATTTCTTATGGTTTTGTCTCTGCTTGCTTCAGTTTGGATATCATCTACTAAACTATCCTTCATTTCTCTTTCCTCAGCTGTTTCCAACCTAGTATTAAAGCCATCTGTTGAGTTGATTTCAGTTATTCTGTTTCTCAGTGCTATAATTTTTATGTGTTGAAAAATGACTTCCAGATCTCTGCTGAAAATATCAGTCTTGTTTCTTTTGAATATATTAAGTGTAATTATCTTGAGATCTGTATTAGGTGACTCCATTAACTTAATGCCCTATGGTTCTGTTGCTATGCTCTTCATTTCCTGTGGTTCTGTCTCCTCATACACCTCATATGGTTATTTTTGATTGAGTGCTCTCTAATGAATATGAAGAATTATAGTGATAATTTGAAGCCCATGATAGTATATTCCTCCACAAGAGATTTGTTTGCTTCTGGGGAAGATGAGAGACACCAACAATTCAGATTGCTATTCCCTAAGCTGTTTTGAAGCTGGGCTTCAGCATCTGTGAAAGCTGGCTCAATTCTTGGTTCATCTTTATTCTTAGGTTGTAGCCTCCAGGGTCCCAACACAAAACCTGAACTGTATACCAGGTCTTTTCCATTTGGGCATGTTTAAAATTATCCCTCAGCTTTATCAACTTGTCAGACTTACCTTCAGCTTCCCACTTTCTTTCACCTCTTCCAGAATTGAAAGACCTTTAGAGAGGAAATAGTCCCAAATGTCAGGCTCATCTCCATTTCTGGGTTTCTTTCACTAATGATTCACTAATTCTCCAGTGCCTTCAAATAGTTCCTTTTAAAAGTTATTTTCTTTAGCTCAGCTTTTCTAGTTATCCTAAGTAGGAGGCTTGGTCAAAAACTCCTAGTCCACCATTGCCAGAAACAAAAACCTACCTTAGAGTACATACTGATTTTTATTTATTTTTTTAATTGAGGCTTTTCTTCCACAATAAGAGTATTGTGAGGAGTAAATGAATTTATATAAAGTGCTTAGGACAGTTTGTATAGTAAACACCATGTTCTAGCTATTAGAATTTTCTTCCAAGGATGCATTCTTGTCATTGGAAGAGTGGAAGATATAAATGTAGTACAACATTTCATAAATCACACTCAAGACTTTCATTTGCAAAATGAAAATCCCCATTTGCACAATATAAAATGTAAAACTTACTCATTTTTGCATATGATCATATGCATAAAATAGAACATTGATGATCACCTTTAAAGATTAGTGGGTTTGGGAGGGTGGGCAAGGGCAATATACCGGTCTCCATAGGGTATTATTTTTATTTGTCAGTAGACAGAAAGGGGTAATGGTTAAGAATACTCTACATTATAGTAAAGATTAGGTATGTCTGGAGAGAAAAGAGAATTAACTTCCTCTAGAACCTCTTCCCCCTAGTTGTGACAACCAAAAGCATCTCCCGACATTGCCAGACGTCTGTTGGTTGGTAAAATACAGCTGGTTGAGAATCACTGCCCTGGTGTTTTCAAATATTCCAACCTAGCTAATCAAATCACTTATTACTCACTCGCTGCCCCTCAGCCCCACCTGGCTACAGATGTAAAAACCCATTAGTGAGGACATTCTATAAACTCTCTTAAAATCTATCTCTTACATTAGATTTTCTTACTTGGCTTAGCAACATTCTCTTAAATATCATCTTTGCTTTTTCCTCTTGCAAAATGAGTGCCATTTGACAGGATATGAGTGGTTTTGTACAACTTGGCCCTAGACTTCTCATAAGATTCAAAGGGGGATGAAGATGTGAGGGATATGGATGGCGGGGAGAAGTATTTTGATTTGATGATTACATCTGAAACACTGATTTAATTATTTAGTGTCCAAACTATTCCTTGTTTTCTAAAGACCTGTTCAAAGTCTCGTTGTTCCTGTTCTCAAAAGAAAAGGCACATTGATCTAAGGAGGCCTCATCGACAGGAACTGTGTGGTCGCTGCAAAGACAAGAGATTCTCCTGTGGCAATACTTACAGCTTTAAATACATCATTTGACAGGCAGTATGAATTGTGCCCATACCCAACTCTCCTTGTGATTTACTGTACTGTTCCTTTTTTGAAGCTTAGCTCTGAGCTGATATTGGAAAATGGATTAGGCTTTTGTACTTTTTGGAGGTTGTATAACAGTTGTACAATGTCAGTAGAATAAAATAAATGCATGTAAAATAGACCGTGAAGGTACATTAATTGTGATCACGAGGTAAAAACCTCCATATGGCACTGGGAGATAGTAGACACTGTCACTTTTATAAAGGGAACAATGAAGAGGAACTGTAGGCATTTGACAAACTGGGGACATAGAGATGATCACAGACATGAATATTGCCTCAAGTAATTACAGCAAATGCTTAAACAGCACTTATTTGCTAGGGATTGCAGCTTACCACAGCAGTCATACTAAGCAGAAACTACTATACCCTTTCTTAACAGATGAGGAGAGGGAGACACAGATCATAGTATACAGCCAGTGTTTGAACCCACATGGACTCGAACTTCCTCCATGGCTTGAACTACTACATTTACATTTTTTTCCCCCTCAGATTCAGATGTGGTAAGTGCTGTGAAGGAAACAGAGGGCTATTATAGAGTGAGCTTTTAGATAGAGTAGTTGGGATGAAGGAGCAGGAGAATTGAGAACTTGCAGGATGGAGGGAGCTTGGAGAAAAGATGGTTTTGATCCAAGAGAACAGCAAGAGCAAAGGCTCTGAGTGAGTGGGCCACATACTTGGCATGTCCCAGGAATAGGGGCCCCTGAAGCTAACGTGGGACAGAGGCTGGAGAGGACAGGGCTCAGGTCACGGAAAGTTCTTTTGGCCATGGTCAGGCATGCAGCAGCCCATAAAGGGTCACAAGACTGTGACATCAGAGTCTTACCTTAAAAAAACACCCTCTGTTAGTCACCATACAGTACATTAATTTTTGATGTAGTGTTCCATGATTCATTATTTGTGTATAACATGCAGTACTGTATGGTGACTTACATAACAATAAGATAATAAATAAAATTCCAAAGCTTAACATAAATAAATAAAAATAAAAATTAGGGCAGCGGGGAACTCCCTCTGTTGGGGAAAGACCAGAATGCACAGGCAAAATGATGTCTTAGACAAGGGTGATGGCCATGGAGATGGAGAGAAGTACATCAATTCAAGATAATGTTGGAATTACAAAGGATTGGAAGTGGATGATGCAGAAATAGATGACTTTTAGATTTCTACTTTGAGCCATGACACAGATGGAATTGAGAAGTATAATATTTAGGAGCATGTTCTAGTGTCAGATTACCTAACTTCAAATCCTGGATGCGCTACCTTATGTATGCTTGTGGGCAAATTACAGGCATACCTTAAAGCTATTGCAGGTTCAGTTCCAGACACTGCAATAAAGTATCTCAATAACGTCTGTCAAATGATTTTTTTTTTGTTTTTAGCACGTATAAAAGTTATATTTACATATACTATAATCTATACTATTATCTATTAAGTGTGCAATAGCATTATTACTAAAAATGTACATAATTCAAAAATACTTTATTGGTAAAAAAAATAATCTGAGCTTTCAGCAAGTTGTAATTTTTGCTGGTGGAAGTTCTTGGCTTGATGTTGATGGCTGCTGACTGATCAGCGTGGTGCTTGCCTACTGACTGATTAGGGTGGTTAGGATGGCTGTGGCAATTTCTTATTTCTTGTTTTAAAACAGCAAAGAAGTTTGTCTCATCCATTGACTCTTCCTCTCATGAATGATTTCTCTGTAGCATGTGATGCTGTTTGATAGCATTTACCCACAGTAGAACTTCTTTCAAAATTGGGATCATTACTCTCAAACTATGCAGGTCTTTTATCAACTAAGTTGGTATGATATATTTTTTTAGGTCTCATTTATTTATCTATCTATCTATCTATCTATCTAGGGGAAGAGAGAGTGGGGGAGGAGCAGAGGGAGATAGGGTCTTAAGCAGACTCCATGCCCAGCATGGAGCCCAATGTGGGACTCTGTCTCACAGCCCTGAAATCATGACCTGAACCAAAATCAAGAGTTGGAGGCTTAACTGACTGAGGCACCCAGGTACCCCTATACTAAGCTCTTTCAAACACATCATCTCTTAAACCTCAGAAAAGCTCCTAGAGGTACATGTAATTGTTATCCCTATTGTAAAGCTGGGGAATCTGAAGTAGACACAATTTGATATCACATAAACACACTTGAATTCAGATGGATTGCCTCAAGCAGCTATGCTCTCCCCAAGAGAGAAAAGAGAGCTACATGAGCAGTTTTGGAGAAATTGCAAGGATTTATGTGGCCTAAACATAGGGTGTTTGGGAAATGAAGTGGAAGAAAGGGCCAGAAATGAGGGTGGTGCTAGATTGCAGAATGTTACTTCAAGGATTTTTTTTCTTTAGGTAGTGGGGAGACCTGGGTTTTGCATAAAGGGGTAATGTGATTTAACTAGCAGTTGTAGGATAAGTCCTATGGTGGCCTGAAGCATGGATTTGAAAAGGGACAGATTCATGGTCAAAGAACAGTTAAAAGCTACTGGGACACACAGGAGTGATAACAAGGGTGAGAGCCAGGATGGGGTTCATGGATGGGCAAGGGCAGATGTGGGAGGCATTGTGGGACGTGGACTTGGCAGATGTTGTAACTTTTCTGTTTGGAAGGAGGAGTTTCAGTTTCTACCATGTGGAATATAGTGATGTGCTGGATCAGAGGTCAGGAGCAAAGATCCAGGAGAAAGACTAGGTGTCAGGGTGCAGGCATGTTGAATTTGAGGAACTGTTTAACAGCCACATGTCCAGTGGGAATGTGGGAAGTTTTGGTGTAGGCCAGGGGAAGAGAATTTGACATAAAAAGCGGTAAGAGTTGAAGCCATGGACCAGAATATAGGACAAAAGCAGAGAAGAGCAAGGCTAGATCCATAAGGAATTCTTGGTTTTATTTATTTATTTTTATTATTTTTTTTATTATGTTTCATTAATCATCATACAGTATGTCATTTGTTTTTGATGTAGTGTTCCAAGATTCATTGTTTATGTACAACACCCAGTGCTCCATGCCCTCCTTAATACCCATCACCAGGCCAACCCATCCCCCCACCCCTTCTCTTCTAAAACCCTCAGTTTGTTTCTGAGTCCACAGTCTCTCATGGTTCATCTCCCCCTCTGACTCCCTCTCTTCATTTTTCCCTTCCTTCTCCTAATGTCCTCCATGCTATTCCTTATGTTCCACAAGTAAATGAAACCATGTGATAATTGACTTTCTCTGCTTGACTTATTTCACTCAGCATAATCTTCTCCAGTCCCATCCATATTGATGGAAAAGTTGGGTATTCATCCTTTCTGATGGCTGAGTAATACTCCATTGCCTATATGGACCACATCTTCTTTATCCATTTATCTGTTGAAGGGCATCTCAGCTCTTTGCACAGTTTGGCTCTTGTGGACATTGCTGCTATGTACATTGGGGTGCATATGGCCCTTCTTTTCACTACATCTGTGTCTTGGGGGTAAATAACTAGTAGTGCAATTGCCAGGCCATAGGATAGCTCTATTTTTAATTTTTTGAGGAACCTCCACACTGTTTTCCAAAGTGGCTGCTCCAACTTGATTTCCAACAATAGTTAAGAGGGTTCCCCTTTCTCCACTTCCTCTCCAACATTTGTTGTTTCTTGTCTTATTAATTTTGGCCATTCTAACTGGTGTAAGGTGGTATCTCAATGTGGTTTTGATTTGAATCTCCCTGATGGCTAATGATGAACATTGTTTCATGTGTCTGTTAGCCATTTGTATGTCTTCTTTGGAGAAGTGTCTGTTCATGTCTTCTGCCCATTTTTTGACCTATTTGTTTTTTGGGTGTTGAGTTTGAGAAGATCTTTATAGATCTTGGATATCAGCCTTTTGTCTGTAGTGTCATTTGCAAATATCTTCTTCCATCCCGTGGGTTGCCTCTTTGTCCTGTCGACTGTTACCTTTGTTGTGCAGAAGCTTTTGATCTTGATGAAGTCCCAAAAATTCATTTTTGCTTTTGTTTCCTTTGCCTTAGAGACATGTTATCAAAGAAGTTGCTGTGGCCGATGTTGAAGAGGTTACTGCTTATGTTCTCCTCTAGGATTTTGATGGATTCCTATCTCACATTGGGATTTTCATCCATTTTGAGTTTATCTTTGTGTATGGTGTAGGAGAATAGTCGAATTTCATTCTTCTGTATATAGCTGTCCAATTTTTCCAGCACCATTTATTGAAGAGACTGTCTTTTTTCCATTGGATATTTTTTCCTCCTTTGTAGAAGATTATTTGACCATAGAATTGAGGGTCCATATCGGGGCTCTCTGCTCTGTTCCATTGGTCTGTGTGTCTGCTTTTGTGCCAGTACCATGCTATCTTGGTGATCACAGCTTTGTAATGAAGCTTGGAGTCAGGCAACAAGATGCCCCCAGCTTTGTTTTTCTTTTTTAACATTTCCTTGGTGATTCGGGTCCCATACCCAAATACTCAGATTTTCTGGTTCCATCAAATTTTAGGATTGTTTGTTCCAGCACTTTGAAAAATGCCAGTGGTATTTCGACTGGCATGGCGTTGAACGTATAGATTGCTCTGGGCAGCATAGACATTTTAACATTGTTTATTCTTCTGATTCATGAGCATGGAATGTTTTTCCATCTTTTTGTGTCTTCATCAATTTCTTTCATGAGTGTTCTGTAGTTTCTCAAGTACAGATCCTTTACCTCTTTGGTTAGGTTTATTCCAAGGTATCTTATGGTTTTTGGTGCTGTTGTAAATGTAATCAATTATCTAATTTCCCTTTCTATAGTTTCATTGTTAGTATAGAAGAAAGAAACTGATTTCTGTACATTGATTTTGTATCCTGCCACATTACTGAATTGGTATATGAGTTCTAGTAGTTTGTGGGTGGAGTCTCTTGGGTTTTCCAGATAAAGTATCATGTCATCTGTGAAGAGAAAGAGTTTGACTTCTTCATTGCCAATTTAAATACCTTTT